CATTTCCCTATTGTAGAAAGATTCTCCCAGTTTCAAGCTTATCCTGATTGGTTCAACAGGGTGGTTGCTGCAAAGTACTTTGTTACCTTCTTTACAAGGACACCCTGAGTCCATACTCCACAGCTTCTCTGTTTCTTCTGCACTACACTCTGGCACTCTCCCTCAAGTAGTCTAGCCAAATAGCAGATGTTTATTATTTATTTTGGTCCTTCTTTTCGGAAGGGAAGTATGTCTAGTACCTGTAGTCAGCCATGTTGTCAAAAGTCTGAGTATACTCGTGACATAGGAACGACTGAACCAAAAAGAAACTTTTAACTCCAAGCAGTCCATAGGTAGAAAAAACTCTATAGACTTGTTTGGAGTACAAAGATGAGGAAGCATAAAATTTGATTTCAACAGATGTTATACTACAGTAGTTTTTCACTTGTGTTCACAAATGACAGGATTTGCAGAGGTTACTTGGACTGAACTGAAGAAAAGTGGGTCACAGATGGTGGAGTTCAAGCCTCACACTTCTGTAATCAACCATGTTCCATCTGTTTAATGTTTTAGGGTTCTTTGAAACATTGTTTGAAAGTTATTTTCATTGCTAAAAGCTTATAAAAACCACAACATGGGCTAATAAACAGGATTTTATGATAAAGATGACTACTTGTAAATACCATGTAGGCAATAATCTCTGAGCTGGAGGAAAATTAGGGTTATTAACCTCTGTAGAAGATAAGGTTATACCAGGTTTAGTCTGACTGCAAAATCTCTAGGACAATGACTATAGACACCACTACTTTCTAATTTCCTTAATGTCTCACAAAGTAGGAATTTTGTAAATGTCTATCATCTAAGCTAGGGAAGGAAATAAGGTCAGATAAGCATGTGGAGCCAGACTGTAGAGTGTTTTAAGAGTTACAAAAACATAGAAATAGATTAAGTCTATAAAATTACTGAGAAGAAAGTGTCATGAAGTTTAAGAAAAAGGCAGGTGGTAAGAGGAGAGGCAGAGTGTAGCTCATTGGTAGAGACTGTGTTCAGCATGCACACAGCACTAAAAAAATGAAACAAAACACCACAATAGTAACAATTACAGAAGAAGGATATGCAGTAAGGAGACCAGTTAGACAACTACTAATGCTTTGATCAATTCATAGCCTACAAAAAGGAGGCTGTCACTTTTAGGCATTTGATGTATTTGGGGAAGGGAGTTAAAAGGATTAAACATAATTCTTGCCTTAAAAGAGCTTTAGGAATGTACAGAGTCTAAGAAAACAAATAGGTGATTTCAAGGAAGGCTAGGAAATGAAAGAGCAGCTTAGAAACATCTATCTTGATACTTTCTGAACTATCTTAAGAACTTATAAAAAGAAAAAGGCAAGTCCATGTGGCCACAGTCAAGTATATACTTTAAAAAAGTGATCTTTATTATGACACATGTAAGAGTAGTGTTATCTTTAAGGAGAGGGTATGAGAAAGCCTTCTGGGGTTCTAGAAATATCTTGATAGGTGTTGAGTTTCATGGTTGTGTTTATCAAGATGAAAGACATAATTTTTAGAAATTTGTATATATTTTTAAAAGTACCTTTTCATTCCTTCTTGGACAACTCTGGGGACTTATGCTTACAAAACAGATACTTATAATTTACATTTAAAATTCCTCCCAGAATATACCATAATTTAAATTTTTATACTATGATGATCATCTCATATTTACATTTGCTTGGTTAATGATTTGTTGCATCAGCTTTTACTCTTTGAGGTAGCTGCACTTAGGAAAATGTCCTACGGTTATAATGTTTTCATCTTATGCTTTTCTTATCTTCAAAAGCAAGCTGTTCTGCTAAGCAGAAAAAAACCCAGCTCTTTAATATCTGTAGACACAACCATTCCCAAGATTTGACAAACTACACTAAAGTAGAGAGGTCAGTCTATTCTTTTGGAACATGCCAAGGGCACTAAGAAGTAGTACAGAAAGTTCTCTTTTTATGCTGAGAAATATCCTGAAGTTTTCAACAGATGATTTCTGATTTATTTACTGAGCAATAATCCCTAGATCCATAAGAAAAAAAACCATAATATTTTACTTTATTAAAAAGAACATAATAAGAGCTTATACAGTATGTTTATCACTGAACCATAATATGATTAACACATGGCAGACAAAAACCTTTTGGGTTTAAAAATAGCTTTATTTAGCATACCAAAAAACACAGAAACATAAGAAAACCCTATCTAATATAAACATAAAAAATAGTTAAATACCATAATTTAATGTAAACCAAGCATTTAAAAATGTGAAATATTATAATAAAATACACAGAACTGAGTTAAAAGTTACCTCCACAGTTACTGGATTAGATAATCAATCTTGAAGAAATCATCATTAGCAATGAAACAAACAACATCTCTGCACTGGTCAATAGGAAAAGAAAAAATAATTTTGTTTTTTAAAACAAATACAATTTATTGTGATATTTAGAGTAAGGAAGCAAAAAGTGCCAGTTTTAGGATTCCAGATACAACTAATGCATATAGAGGCTTGCAAATTATTCCACTGGAAGACCACTGAGCACATTCTTTTATTTAAATACAAACTGATTGATTCAGTTTAGTTACTGCTTAAAAAAAGTACTAAATACATTCTGCAAAAATAAACCTTTATTATAAACAATCAAAGGCGAATGTAATATCAGTCAGGTAAGAAAGGCAAAAGCATAAAAATATATATTATTCAAGATAAGCCTCTTAATTATAATAAATGTTAAGAAACTCGGTTTATAAAACCAGATGGGGTAGCAAAAGGGATTTAAAAAATTTAAAACCCAGACTATATTCAAACAAAACAAATCTCAGACAATGTTTTTGATGACAGTAGTATGTTGTTTATTCTCTCATTATCATGCAAAAGCTGCCATGAGATCTGTTGCTGATGCAGCTATTACTATGGAGCAGTGTTTTCTTTAACTAATAATTAAAAATCTACAGTTATTGATCAGCTTAAACATGACTTTTGCTTCAAGGATCAACATTCATTCTTATACTGCAATTCAGACACCTTTAAGAGGCAGCATTAAATCCAATACCAAGAATTCAGAATGTAAAACAAAGCTGCAAGAAAAGATAACTAGTAATACAACATCCTGTGTCTTTGTCTAATTCTGTAGTTCTCAAAGTTTTGGCTCCTCATAAATTCCCTTAACTGCTTTCAAGGAACTCCAGGGGTCCACGGGCTCTACATTGAAAATTGCTGGTCTCATTTAAAACTTGTATTAATGACAAAAAACAGTTTAAAACATAGGAGCTTTAATTCTTCATTAAAAAAAAACCCTCAAACTACCGGGTACATACATAAATAACTGGATCAAACTGCCCACCTTGAGATTTAATTAGAAACCAAAGATCACCATGTACTTTCTGAGACTACTATCAAGATATAATCATTCTTAGTCTATGAAAGTTACAAAATCTATTAAACTACATTTGCTTTAGTTCCCTTTCCAACATTATTTCGCCCTGTTTGTACTGAGTTGGCAACCATCTTTAAATTGGCACAACTTTATGCAGACCATATTATGGCAGGGGTTAAGTAACAACCCACATACTTAGATTAGGACTATGTTAGCTATTTATGGAGCAGCTGGCTCTATTTCTCACTATGTGAAAGCTCTGGTCAATTTTAGAAAAAACAGGAAGAAATTTCTCCAAACCCCATAATAACTTTAGAATCTTACATTGGATAGTTTTTACATTGTACAAATTGAGTTATACACACATCATCTCATTTGACCTTTTTTCCTTTCTGAGTCAGTTTACATTGGCAGTTCATTAACAGCCTGTTCCCTCTGCTCCAAGGGAAAAGTAAAATCCCTATAGTTAGAAAAAAATCTGATGAAAATACAAAACAAAATAACAATGAGATCTATGTGGGAACAATAACTAGATTTGATGTGCACCTACCACAACACACATTTTGCAATCTTCTTCCACACACTGAGTGATACAAAAATCACAGTTTATAATTTAATAGAAAATTGTCTCTTAATAATCTTTAGGCAAAGACTTCGGCAAAACTATTTATTTCAACTAAATTCTGGGGTGCTTGAAGAATGTGTGATGGTAAAGAGAAAATAAATAGTAAAGCAAAAAAAGCAATGAAACAGTGAGAAGAAAATAATTATTGCTCACCCCCAAGTGAGCAAAGGTGTAATCAGCCTGTCACTAATACCTATTTCCAGTTTAGAAATTATTCCATTGCCAGGAAAACCTCCCCACCAACATTTTAGTACAAATAGCGTGAGATGCTAAGTAAACTGTTTTATTAGGAGTGGGGGGAGGAGTCAATCAAGAAGAAAACCCCTAGGGCAAAATGAGCCAAATACCAGGAAAAACCAATGATTTTCTTGTTGTACACTATCAGCAAGTTATTGCTGTGTGTGCACATGCTCTGTTCCTGTATCTCTTTCTGGGATGTTTTTAAAATTGAGAATGACTCCATGTATTTTTCCCTTCGAAGGTAGAAGAAGAAATAGGAGATTAACAAAAGCTCTGTAAGAATTAGAAACAGCTGCTACAGTATATACTTTTTTGAAAATTCTACAGAATGTTGCTGGCTATTATATAAATTTCTGGTGCCCCCCTTTTTCCAATTTTGGTGAGTAATATTCTCCTTACAAGTAATTTAGATAGAGTAAGTTTGTTTAAGACAGTTGCACATGTACTAGGTTGATACACACATGTGGATATATCCATATGTATACATACATAATAACATATATATTACGTATATATGTATACATATGTATTATGTATGTATATCTCACCACATACCATGGAGACCCCCCCCACTGTGTTATGCTTGTCCTTTGCACATATTTCCTCTAGCAAAAATGAGTTGTGGATAATGATTTTATAATGGAAACAAAATTAAGAAAATCAAACCAGCAAGTGTGAAGTGAGATATGCTATAAGACTCTAATAAAATAAAGTCAATGCACATTTATGTAGTGGTAAAGTGCTAGAAAGTCCTTTCATTAGTATTTTAAAAATGATTAGAGTAAAAAGAAGTTTGCAGCTTTATTTGATGGTGGTGACCACAGGCACCATAGCAATGGCACTGGCTGAGTTAGAATTGACAATGTCCTCATACTCTGGGGGTGGGTCTAAATGAGGTTCTGTTTCACTCCTCCGTAAGTTCACCTGGCCAGTGGCTTCTTCATAGGTCGGTGGGGGATCACAGTTGGACAGGCGAGTGGAGACAGAATCTGAGCGCCCAACTACATATTCCAGAAAGCCTGGAGACAATCCACTGCTATCAAATACTTCATCTGGTGGTGGAGGCGGAGTGATAATATTAAGGTGCTGAGGGAAAGGAATGTGGCCTTCAGTCACTGTCTGTCTTCGAGTTTTGTTTCTTAGGAAGCATCTCCAGATTAGGAAAATGACAAGGAGGATAATGAAGAGGCCAAAGATTAATGGAAAGGTAAGATAAAACTGAAACCAGTCACTTCCTGCTTACTTCTCCCTTGCTGCGCTTTTGTGTAAGTGCTCCAAAACTCCTTCTGAAAATACAAAACAATATCAATTGAAAATCAGTACTCAAAAGATAGAAAATATCAGATGAACAAACATCTGGGCTCAATGAATATAATGAACAAAAGACCCAAACCAGGTTTGTTGGTTAAAATGATCTACAGCCTGTATTTTCTATGACAAAAAATTACAAATGCAGAAACTCCTCGACTTAGAATGGGGTTATGCCCCAGGAAACCTGACATAAGTTGAAAATATCTTAAGTGAATATGCATTGAATAAACTTAATTAGCAAACATTATAGCTTAGCAGACAGCACAACTGTTACAGATTGGTCATTTCCCCTTGTGATCACATGGTGAAGGGAAGCTATAGCTTTTAGCTGCTCTCCAGCACCCAAAGGAGAGCATCTTACTGAGCATAGCGCTAGCCCAGGAAATATCAAAATTTAAAGTACAGGTTTCTTACTGAATACATGTCACTTCTCACACCACTGCAATGTCGGAAACTGTAATTTAAACCATTATTAGTTGGAGATCATCTGTGCATCATTGTGCTCACTCTGGATCTTTTTCAAGACCTGTAGTTATTTACATTTTCAGCTATGATATTTTAGAGTGAAAAAATAAGGAATGAACATTTTTTCCTTTTCAGATCATATCAAATAATTTTCCTTTACAAATAAATATAAGTCAAGTGACACTCTCCAAATCCACTCTTGAGGTTCTCATTGTATGATCACATCATTCTTAATAATGTGTGCTAGTATTAGGCTGTTGTAGTACCCAAACACCCATGGAGTGAACACTTTGTTTCTAATGGTTCCTTTTGCAGTCCTTCCAACAGATATTCCTCTCAATTACACTGCCAACTGCAAAGTTTACTGCACATTTCACTGAAGACTAAATTACATATTATTCCTAGGAGAAGACCTGAGGGTAGTATAGATACCATATTAGGGAATTTTGAAACTGAAATTTAATCACAACTGATTGCTCAAGTATTTCATGTCTTTAACGTTTGTGAGGAAAACATTTAAAAGAATACAAAGGAAACGTAGACCCAGTTACTACTTAAAGAGATTTGGACAACTCCTTCTTTAGCCTTAGTTAACCTCACCTATAATATGAGATAATACAAACCTACCTCTAGGTGTCTCAGCATTAAATAACATACACAACATGTCTGATTGATTCTCTGGCATATAAACAATAAATAGTTAAGGATTACTTATGATTTTTTTACATATTATACTCAAGTTTCTAGTTCAAAAATGACTGATTAATCATAATCTATCCATACCTTGCTGGAAAGGTATACCGTAATCTCAATACTATTGGCTCCATTTCTTTTTTCTTTCTCTTTCTCTTTTCCCTTTCCCTTCCCCTTCTCCTCTCCTCTCCTTCTCCTCTCCTCCCACTCTTTCTCATCACTGTGATGGATACCTGAGAGAATCATTTTAAAAGAGGAAGGATTTATTTTGCTCATGGTTCAGAAGGTTAAGTGCCACCTGTCCATGGTCACTGCTTCTATTGTTCTGGCTCTAGTGAGGCAGTACATCATAGTGGAAGGGTGTGGTGGGCAGAGATTATTACCTCATGGCAGGAAGCAGAAAGGGACCCCGAAAGGGGACCAAGGAAGGGCCTGGTACAAGATATACCACCCCTGCCCTCCCCAAATGCCCCAACTGACCTACTTCCTCCAACTGGTCCCAATAATACCATCAAGTTCTGAATCCATGAGGGTCAGAACCTTCATGATCCCATCACCTCTCAATGATTGGATACACCAGCTAGAGACCAAATTCAATACATGTGTCATTTGGGGAAATTTCACACGCCAAACTACAACACTATTTTTGTAGTACTGGAAAGAAAAGGCACAGATTACATACCAGCATTAAAGTAAAAATGGACCATGTCCTGGTTTGCAGAAGATAGTCCTAGCTTATGCTTGTTTCTGAAATCATCATCATCATCATCATATCATCACCACCACTGCCATCATCATTGTGGGCTGGGGATCAAATCCAGGGCCTGGCGCATGCTAGTCAAGTTCTATTCCACTGAGCTACATTCTTGGCCCTTGACTCCATTTTACAACTTTAAACTTAGTCAATAAGTACTTTTTTTAGAATCATATTTATTTTCAGGTATTACATGATGCCTGGATTATTGATTGAGGTGGGGTCTTGCTGACTTTTTGTCCTGACTGGCCTTGAACTGTGATCCTCTCAATCTCTGTCTCTCAAGTAGCCAGGATTCACGATGTGAGCACCATACCGGCCTCTCCACAGTGTATATTTTAATAAAGCACGTTTATTATTTTTAAAATGCTTTAGGCTGGGGATGCAGCTCAGTGGTAGAGGGCTTGCCTGGCATGCACTTAGGCCCTGGGTTCCATCGCCAGCACCACACAGAATAAAGAAGCTTCATATATCTATAAATTTAATGAGTTTTCACCTGTGATTACATTGTTAGTGAAGCAATAGAGTCATTTGATGATTTCAGGATTTTGGTGTCATCCTGAAATGAATGCTGTATCTGGGGCATATTTGTTTCTACTTTGGGATCCTTTTTATATTAGATCTTACATATTTTCACTTGATTTTTAAAAGTACATTCATTATGAATATGTACACAGCTCTAGTAAATCATAAATATTTCTCATAACATATACCAATTCATCTTAGAAAAACATAATGTTGCAATTGCAATGTACCTTAGAGAATATCTGGTTTCAGGGTAAAACACTGATGACTTTGCATCACTACTATACCCACAGAGTGCTTTAAAAGGCTGTGTGACTAAGTAAATAAGATGTAACGACTATAAAACATGTAACTGTGGTGCTCAGAGTCTTACTTTGGATTAGGTTTTGTATTTTATGTAAAAACCATGACTTGTTGAGGCTAGTGTTAGGCAAAAATACAAGATCCTACCTTAAACATAACAAAAAAAGCAAAAAAGGGCTGGGGGTGTAGATTAAGAGTGCTGGCCTAGCAAAGTGTGAGGCCCTGAGTTTAAACTCCATTATTGCCTAAAAAAGTGTATATTGCTAACTTCTTATTGTCATTTTTACAACCAGCAATTTTAATTATATAAAGTAACTTTCAGAAAGCAAATTTTAATTATGTAAAATGTTACCAATGAAGAGACAGCTTAAAAAGAAAACAAATCACTTGCAATCTCATCACAAAGATGTAAGCATTAGTAACAGTTTAGCTGACATTATTTAAAAATGTTTTACATCTTTCTCCCATGCTTCCAATCACAATTGCACACCTGCATAAATACAGTCTTTAAAAATTATGGGCAGAGTGGCTCAAGCAGTAAGAGTGTCTGCCTACCTAGCAAGCATGAAGCCCTGAGTTCAAACCCCAATGCCACCAAAAAAAAATTTTTTTTTTTAATCAGACTTCCCTAAGTGGAAAAAAAAGAAATCAATCATCTACTTCTGGAGACCTACCACTTATCTGTTCAAGAGTCAATTTTCTTTTGCCTCCAGGTGAAAATTTACCCTCTATCTTCCTTGTCTCTCAGATTACCACATCCTTTGCTTCCATTTTATCTTGTCCATGAATGCAAATACATATATTTCAAATAAATAATTATTTTAAATAATTATGTAATGCTAACCTTGGATAAACACAATAACACATGGCTCTTTTATATTGTCTGCAGTACGTTGGGAAAACCAAGCATTAATAATGCAAATGAGCCTTTTTGCATGTTTGGCTTGTATGATTCAATTTCTAGTTTCTTTGATATGATGGGATATCATCATTATTATTGTTTGCTGGGTAAAAATAAGGAAAAATAATTAGATATTTATTTTGAAGCGATAAAAAGAAACCTTAAGCAAAATGGACTTAGTAAACCAATTTTAAATTTTATATGGAGTAGCTTAGTCTTTATTACATCAAATAATATAGGTACTATTATCACACCCATTTTGCAGGTGAGGAACTGGTGGCCCAAAGAGGTTACATAGTATAACTTTAAAATCATTTAACATGTAAACTTTGGAGCTGGGGTTTGAACCCAAGAGGTCTGGCACGAAAGCAAATAAAAAAGCAATCTGCTTTGACATAAGATATTTCAAACCAATTTGGCCACCCTCCTAGAAAATTCTATTTTATTTATATGTTTAATGTGTATGAAAAGCAAGCCTGCTTATGTTACAAATAAAATATTTTCAATTAAGTTAACAATGGTCCAAATATAAAGGTACTGACAGATTTGTTTCTTTGGAAAATACACTTATTTTTTTCCTGAGGGCAGAGGATCAGATAAAAATTCACTTGAAATCAAGATCACTGTTATGAAAATTAACCAAAAGATACTCAGAAAGAGGAAATAATTTCAAGACTTTAGTACAGTAGTGCTTTAGAGGGAAAGAAAGCTAGTAGTTAACAATTATGCTTAAGCAGCACAATTTTAACCCAATCAAGAAGTTCTATGATAATTAAATATCTTATAGTAATCTCAAGCATAATGTAAAGGATTTGTTTAATGAAGAATAGTTATTAAAGGGAATCCATAGCTATAGGACAAGCTAAAGTTATGCAAATAATTTCATAACATCTGAAGTTGCCACAGAGGTCTGACAACCATATCAGAGGGAGGAGCCCCAAAAGGGAGCTGTTTTTATCATGGTAGGAGAATTACAGAACAAAATTTAGGAAGGTGCAAGATTCTATCAAAGAATTTTTGCTTTCCTTTTATAGAATATATGCTTTTACTATTTCAATTTTTCTCACTGCCATTTATTAATAGAACTTGAGTGACTCAAGGCCTGAAGACCTTTACCCATAACTGGAAAGAGTACAGTTGAATATGTTTTTGCCACCTTTGATTAATCAGATCAGAACCTACCTGGGACAGCTGGGAAGTGGGTGATTGCCTCAGTTTGTACTGCTGAGGAGGGCCCAGCAGCATTTATAGACAATATTTGTGTGTGTTTCTCTCCTTCCTGGAACAAGAAAGACAGGCAAAGGGGGCAGTCTGTAGGAGATGAGGGATTTTAAAGTAATTCTAACTCCAAAAAACTCCTTTGTTGAGAGGAGGACAAGCAACTTGCAAGTTGGAAATTCAACACTAACTGCCAATCATTTATAAAGGACAGCTGAATTCAGAGACCAATTCCACAGGTTTGTTGCTAAACAGAGTCACCTGGATTGTGTATTACATAGGACAAGGAATTGAGATGACAACAGAATAGAAATGATGCAAAGATATTACCCTTTCCAAAAACAGGGTGATTCTTGCTCTTTTATTTACTAGCTTTGTGGTTTTAAAAATGATACTAATAGGAGGAAGACCAAGATAGTGGATAGCCAACAGACCCTGGAACCCTGAGTCCGAAAGAATACTTCAGATTCATGGCATTAAGGATAGATAAACTGCTTTTTTCACCAACTGAGATACCACCAATACATAGGGGAACATAATGTACAACAATCAACCTTAAATTAGCTTTTATAGCACATAACAGCCCTAGAAGCCCAGGCGCTGCTAGAAAGCTGTTTTTTCTTTTCTCCCCTCTCCCCTGTTTCTTTCTCCTTTTTCTGAAGAGCAAAAACACAACACAGAGAACTACAGAATGGGTTCTGCAAGCATCTTGGACATCCTGGACCTGCCCAAATTCATGGACATGAAACCTCTGACTGCCATCTACCTGCACCCAACACAGGCTGACCCTAGATACCACCGAGTTAAACTACAACCCCTCCAGGTGAGCAGGCGCACATCATCTAACTCTAGAGGGAAACACATAGTCCAGCACAGCTTATGGGCAGATTGTATCCTTCCTAGACAAAATTGGTGGCCTGATAAACAGAGGGAAATTTTCACTTCTGCCTGGTAGGAGTGGGACAGAGTGCTTAGATGATCTAGCCTGTGTGTGGGCAGAGTGGCCAGTCTGGGGAAATAACAAACACATTCAACCATCTTGGAGAAACTGTAGTGAACTGAAAACTAACAGACTTCCCAGAGAAAAGCAGTCAACAAAAAAGCTCAATTCTAGCTCCCAGGCTAGCCCTGTGGGCAGAAGGGGCTGGCGGTTGGTCACATACCAGCTATTTGCAGGACCATTTCTGAAAACCTGTCTACAAAAAAAAAAAAAA